CCTACACAAGATCAAGTCAGTTTACCAGTCTGTCTATATACATTTATGAATATTTCTTATAGACATCTGTGCATTAATATAACTCCTGAAGACCTTTATAGGTGACTGTATGAATATTCAATGGGTATTTAATAGCCAAATTTTAATAGAAAGCAAGCCATATTTTAATAGAAAGCAAACAATACTTTCATTCTATCCGCTAAGTACAATATAGTCAATTTATAAATGAATACTGCTTACCCAACATACTAGCATCATTCACTACGATGTGACAAATTACATTATTTAAATATATATTTGTCCTTTCAAGGGACGTAGTATTTTTAAAGGCATTTGTAAATTAACTCCCATTAATATATATTTTTTAAAAATATTTATCATGGCAAGCTTAGAGGTGTAGTAACACAGCTGCATAACTGTTTACTGAAACATGCTTATGAACCTAGGATCCCTAATTATATGCTGAATTACGCTTCTCACTGTCACCAGGCCACATAGAAAACTTTTTTGGGGAGGGGTAAGGCTTAATTTTCTTCTTCTTTCTATGTTTCAAACACTGACTAGGTTCCACTGCATACCAGCAACCGGAGAGAGTATGACATTTAAACTTGAGAGCAAATTTGACTAAGAATCAAGAACTCTTAAAAAGAGAAATCACTTCACTGGTTTATTTCCAAGAAGCTGCCCAAAGCTTGAAATGTCTTGCATGAAAAGCTTAAAATCAACAAAACTTCTGAGTACTTCCCTTCACTGCCATCTGCAAACATCTCAACCTCTGAAATACAGAGATATACAGCTGTATGATTAGACTAAACAGTGTGGGTCACCACTGTAATCCTATACAGCCAAAGTAATTTCATTGTCCGCCAAACACTGGTTATTTTTACAAATGAAAATAGTTTCAAATCAGGACCAGTTCTGGAAAGTAAGCGGATGGGAATAGGAGAAAATAGGCATTGGAAATATACAGGCATGGGATTTATCTATCAAACTGTCAGGAAAGCAAATTTTTATTTTGCTTTGTTTTTAATTGAAGATGGAAAACATGCCACTACTTCTTTGGAGCACCCAAGAGTATTAACTTTTTCATGCAAAAGTAATTATGCTATCCCAGAACATACAAATGTACAATGTACAGTGTTTGATATTATTCACATAACAGACTGGTGTGATTAAAAAAAAATAAACAGCTGCAAAATATATATCATTTGTAGTTGTCATAAAAGCTATTAGAAGCTAAAGTTTCAAGTAAACTAAGTCTGCCGCTTAGTTCAAGTACACACACACACACACACACACACACACACACACATTCTCTATAACAATGCTTGAAAAGATTTCAACTATGCCTTGAAAAAATACTTAAGTCATCTGATCTACATCTGCATTGATTTTTCTTTGATAGCCAAAATGATTAATCCTTATTTTGCTTTCAACTTTATTTTCAATTCTTAACTATTTTCAGCAGTACACAAAAGGTCTCACATCTTCTACACTATAAATGTCCCATTAATCGAATACACTAATTTCAGTCTTCCCACTGTTCAGTTTTATTGCAACTGAGGATGTTATACTTTATAAGGACTAACATATTTTGGAAACATGTTTTGGAAACATGGTATAACAAAAACAAAAAATCCAAATATCTAATCTTATTAAACTGTGTACTTTCCCCATTTACTTTATTTACATAAACAGAAAAATAGTGAGGTACCACTGTTGCAATATAACAGTTTTGGTGTTCTTTACATATTAATGCTGTTGATCATATACTATTTTAGTATTCTAGTATAATTCCCATAAACATATTTGGGATTGCTTTGACTGAGGTGGATTATAGGCTGAGGTGGATTATGGACTGATTTCATTGCAGTCTCCCCTCAGTAAAAACTGAAAATGCTAGATGTAAAATATCACAAATTAATAAAAGAAGCTGATTTAAAAGATATCATATTGCACTACTTTTAAAGATTAACAATGTAAGATGCAGAAGAAAAAAACATACAGTGGCATTATTTGTGGCATGAAGGCAAAGATTCCTCATCTAGTTGCTATTGCAGAAATAAGTTTAAATAGATATATGTAATAAATTAGGATATCACCCACAATTCTTAAAGCAGAAGGAATACACACATATACACTATTTCCTAAAACATGGTGAAGGGGGAGAACTATCAGGGTATGAATTGGCTATGGCTTCATCTTTACTGTAGTCAATAATTTCCACAGATAACACCTGGATTCCACTGGTTGACACCTGGAATGCCACACACTGGAGCAGCTATTTGTGCAGGTACTTCTACAGCTCTAATTCAGAAACTTCAGCAGAAAATGAAGACGTCCTTCCTCTATTCTGGGCACAGACCCATGTAAATGTTTTATAAATCCTCTCCACAAATCTCTTTTAACATGCAAATCCATAAATCATCATAATACTGACAAAGAAGTTAACCAGCACGTGAAACTAATGCGTATTCTATCTGGAACTGTATAGTGGTAAAACTATCCGATCTAGAGGCACTTTTCCAGAGTTCTCTTTACAGTGGCACTTAAAAAAAAAACCACAGAGAGAGAACAAAACGCGCCCCCAGTTTCTCATCCCTTTGATCACTAGACAACATTTATACAGATTCCTCATCTTGTCTCCAGACATTACAAATAAATATTCAGGAATTTGTAGAACACATCCAATGCCATCACTTTTAGTAAGTGAAACAAACGGAACTGCAAATATATAAAGGTAGACAACGGATACTTACTGAAGATGGTAAACCTGGAGGAACCTTTCGAACTTTCTTTGTCTGTACTTCTGAAAGAAGATACAATGCGGCTGTAAGATGTATGCTCACACCCTATGTCATTTCCAGGTCTACATTTAGCTTTGCTCTACAATTTCATATCAAGGCACAAGTTCATGGGAAGTTTCCTTTTCGACATGTCGAGGAAAAGTAGCCCAAAGTAACTCACCCACAGAGGTACTGTGCAGAGGCCTCCTTCGCGGGTTATTGCTAGAATACTGATAGTACTGAGAGCCAGGTTTGGTGGGTGAGAGAGCTCCGGGGTTGCCCATTTCCATGTCACCTCCGAGGAGACTTTGCTAAAAGATTTTTGAAAAATAGGTATTGTTACATTGAACAGTTCCTCACTAGCTTTTTAAAAATACTGACTCAAATAACGTGTAAAAGCCTCTCTGTGCCAGGTTTTTTTTTTTAAGCAGCTGTTATCAAAAATATATTTCAAACTTGATCTCAGATTTTACTGAATAATTCTGACAAAAGTTTATTTTGTGGGGGGGAAGGGGAGACATGCTTAACATCATTCTGAAACTTAAAATAATATTTGTGTGTGCGTATTTTTTATATAAAAGAACAGTTATATATAACTATTCATTTTTTTGCCTGCCAATATGCAAACTTTTAAAAACTATACTAAGGAAAGATACCAACCATTTTTTTTTCTTGTAGAGGGCAATTTAAAGCATCACATTTAGCAATACAAAAGCCTTCCCTGCTGCTAGTATTACTGACCAGTGCTTTAAAAAAATGTTATACAGAAATAAAAGCCTAATATATATATATGAAAAGTAGCAAATAGTCAAAGTCAATGCAAAATGGACCCATCAGGTACATAATTCATGATTAAAATATGAAAATAAGAAGTATATATTACTAAAATAAACTCGTTTTGACAAATTATTTAGCAAGGGGCTAAGAGAAAACACAAAAAGACTAGTGGAATCAGAGATGATTTTGCGAAGTACTTTCTGACCATCACATCTATATTATTAAGTAAGAAGGTGAACATTCATAAATACAAAATGTACTTACTCATGAATGGACAATAGCTACTAAAACCAGAAGAAATGGTATCTGAGTACAATAACAAGGAAACAGTAAAGACTACAGCTTTTGCTAAAAAATCTATTTCTATAAACTACATTGAAACTTACCCATAATATATAACTCCCCTGATTATACTCTGCATTGAACACATTGTTCTTTTAATTTTTCTGATATGCAATAAAACAGGTGCAGATACTACCATTTATATGATGAACAAATTTTCCATTTAATAAAGAAATTTTAAAATTAAGTACCAAAAATCTAACTTTATCGTTACTTGTAATCAACTTTTACTGACTGAACTAATTACTGTACTTGATAAAGTACAGAATGTGTTTTCCCTAATCTAAATTCTAATCACCATGTCACTCACAACAGACTTAGTAATGCTTCACTAACACACTATTCACATGCAAAACACTCTAAATAGGCCAATTATGACTCTGCCCCTGTTCCCTGGTTAACCCGCTGAGAACTGAAAAATTTCACAAGGCAGTCACCAACTAAAACAAAGGCTCCTTGTTTTAAATTAAGACAGTCTTTTTGATTCTTAAATAGCTCAACAAAGTGCCATGTCTTCGTCTGAAAGCAGTTGGTCAAATATGACCCATGAGCTGGAAAATACTCTGCACCCCCCCCCCAAAAAAACCCCAATAAAAAAAAATCCAAAGATAACTTTTCTTCCTGGGAATGTGTATTAATTTCTTTTACTAAATGTGCAACTGGTAAACTGCTAGTGGATCATCAAGACATTTTACACAATTTTGTTTCGCTTCCAACTTTGCGCAACATCACAAAGTAGGACACTTTGCATATACCTAAGAATGTTAAAATCATGACTTGTTTCACTCATAACTAACAACTGTTCAGTATCATTGACTACTTTTTATACTTTCAACAAGAAAAGGTTCTGGGCATGCTGCATTATGTCAAGAATTGATATCTTACCACCCCTCCAAATTAAGCCTGCATATGAACTGGGGAAAGCCATTTTCATTAAAACGTACAGACACCAATGCAGAATGAATGGATATGTACTATAAATCCTTCATACTGTGACATTTTTTAAAAATGGAATTTGTTCAGACAAAGTTAAGTTGCAGAATAGAATCCTCACTACATTTATTATTTATTTATTCGTCCATCTAATTTGTACCCCGCCTTCCCTGCCAAGGCAGGCTCAGGGCGGCTTACAAAAAACATGTTAAAACAGTTAAAACACCATATTTAAATAAAATCACAACAATATAGAATAAAACATATCATACAGTGCTAGTATAATTCATAGCCGATGGCCGCGTTCGCAGCATCCAATATGATCAGCTACCACTGTAGTCTGGGTTTTGTCAGGCTATTGATCTATTTTTTGAGTTGGTGTTGGTACTGGGGCCCGGGCCTAGTTGTTACCTCTGATGACATTGGTTTCAGTTAACATCCATCCATCCATCCATCCATCCATCCATCCATCCATCCATCCAAGGAAGTGGACTCGGGCTCATAGAAGCCCACGCCACAGCACATTTCCTAGTCTTTAAGGTGGCAGAAGACACTATACAAAAACCTCAAAGTATCCAGAGTATCAATTTCCCACATTGCTCTACTGTCCCTGTTAAATAAAGAAAGAACAAGTGGTGGAATAAATGCTCACAGCTACAACAGGAATAAGCAAAACTTAAAATTTTTCAAAACTCTTAGCCGCATTTACTCAGAAGGAAACCCCATTGATGCTGATAAAAAAAATATAGGATGGCAATCCTAGATAAGTCTAGCAAAAAAAACATGCTAACAAAAGAGTTTTTAAAAGTAAGGGAAGTATGAGAAGCCTCACAGAGAACCACAAAAGCCCCGCAGAGTGACTGCAATATTTATTTTTCACTCAAGCAGCAAGCAAGTATTTTGCTGTACATGAATACACATTTGGGGATGGGGGGGGGGCGCATCTGGGGCTTTATGCTACTGGTTTTAAATTGTAATGTTTTAACTCTGATTTGGAAGCCCGCTCGAGCCACGAGGAAAGGTGGGATATAAATATTTCAATAAAATTAATTTATCTGGCACGATTGCAGGTTATCACTAGGGTGATATCACTATATCCATACAGCAGTAGTGCTCACAGCAAATATACTACTGCGCTCCCTCTGTCGCCCTGTCACATACGCACGCCTAATGTTGTCTTTATTTAAACCTTTGTTTTTTTATTGGAACAGCAAAGTCATTCTTCTGAGGCAACAAAACATGCATTTACGTGCTCTTATGGGGGCTTCTCTAAGTACTCCACTGGGGAGAACTAAGATAAATATATATCTACTCGTTCTGAGGTACTTGTAAATAGAACAACGGGCACTGACTATTGTTCAGTCACTGTTAACATCTTGTAGCTGTGGGAAGGAGAGGCTCCAAAATCGTGAGGCCATGGCATAAGGCGGGCCCTTTCACAGCTTAGAGGGAAATCTTATATCCAGTACCTTCCCTACAGATTGATTTGGAAGGTAACATTTAGAAACACTCCCCTTTCTCTCCTGCTATCCAATAACGTTATAAGAACCATACAGTGAATAACATTCCACACATCATTATTTTAGGGGATAATTACCAGTTTCTCTTTTTTGAAATAACCAGTGTAATTCTTTAATTTTAAGTTTGCCCTTCTATTTCAAAAGAACTTTTTTTCACACACATTGGTGGGCACGGCATTTGAGAAATACAGACATGCGTGATTAGTTGTGTGGTTCTCTGTATCCAAGGATAATTCTAATATTTGGGGGGGGGGGGCACACACAATTTATTAATGATTATTGTAAGCAATGTTCCCTCTAAGCTGTAGAATCTTGTGAGCAGAATTTCTACTTTGTGAGCTACTGGCATTAAAGCTGTGAGCGAGCGATTGGGCTCCTGCATAAATTAGCCTGCTCTGGAGCCATCCTTCCTGAGCTAAGACAAAAAACTGTGAGCTGGAGGCTAAAAAACTGTGAGCTAGCTCACACTAACTCAGCTTAGAGGGAACACTGATTGTAAGTCACCAAGAAACACACAAACTATAACATTCATTTTGCCACCTTGAAGCTGCTGCCTCCAGATGCAATACTTGAAGAAAGAAATATTCTGTACGAATGACTGCAAGTCCCTCCGAAAGCATACACTGTGGAATGTTGCTAACCTTCCAGAGCCTTACATGGACTCTAATAACATGATGACATACAGAAGATCAGAAAATAGTACAGTGCCATCTACTGACTGGAGGTGCTACATAGTCCAACCAATACATATTAAAAAAAAAAAAAACATTTTAGCAAAACTCTACATAATCCCCTACACACTTGATGCATTTGTATTATACACTGCAGTATCTACCCTGACCCCTTTTTAGGAGAAAGTATTCACCAGAAGAACTCAATGCAGTCCTCTTTGTAAGCTGGACATTTACTTGAGATACTGAATGAAAACTGTGTTTCTAATGTACATTCTCCCCTCCCTTCTTCTCTTCAGCCCAGCAATTTTCTTCACAGGTGCCACCTTTTCATAAAACCAGGCAATGGCTGCTGAAATCTTCCTAGACAGGCCAGACGGTGAATTAATACTGAGCGGACAGAGACACATTTAATAATAACAGGCCTGTTTCTCTCATACGTTATGAAACTATTATTTATTTATTTATTTTCAAATCAGAATGATTGTTTTCAATTACTGTTCAACTCTAATTTGGTACATACAAACATCCATATACAAATGAGTTTTAAAAACATAATGAAACAGATTTTCAAACTATTATTTTTATCCTTGATTACAAAGACAACTAAGATTAAAACAGGGTGAGCGGTGCCTTTCTGAGTGTATAATTAATTCACATAATAGGTAGATGACCTTGAATGGTATAATCTGTAAAATAATAATAATTATAGATGCATATATATTTAAAATCAGGTTAGGGAAAACATTTCAGCGGAAAAGGCGCTCTGAGTGGACTATCTGGGTATGCTTCCTCTCTTTTCCTCTGTCACTTCTATTAAATTGTGATCAGATATCAAACATTACTTCACAGGGATATAGAACAGAAGAAAAAAAACATTCTTAGATGAAACCAGATTACCCTCTTTTTCTGAACACTTGCCAAATGTTTGTAAGTCGAAGACATGTTTGGGCATTTTTTTTTTATTCCTGCATTCCAACAGCTGCAATTCTACACTACCATCACAAACCTATGTGATCTATAGTGACTTTGGGCCATATGCTCCTCTCTTTTATGCAGCAAAGAAAG